TTTCTAAGGAATCAGTTGTTCAAACACAGTCTGTCCATAAACTCTCAGCTAATACAGGAAGTACTGAAGAGTTAAACAACGTATTTTGCAAACTGAATTCTAACTAACTCCCTAAACCTACTTCTAGAGTCTATGTTCAGCTTGGAACTTGCAGACCTGGTATAACTAAGCAGCTTGTTGCTAATTGTAACTTTTCAATTTCATTTGCCTGGACTCTGGTAAGCAGTGTGAGCTTATTGTCAAGTTGGATAATTACTTTTATCAGAAGGTGAGGCAGCAACGCTGTGCACTATGTTTCTCAGTCCTTCTAAACCATATTGTACATACTGTTAGCGGCTGCTCAAACTCACCATTTAGACCTAGAGGACTGGATTTTCCAGTGGTCTAGCAGCCCCTTGCACATTTTTTTTTCAGACTTCTTGTGAGATGATGGGTCTTATTGAAATTACAGCTAAAAGTGTTAATAGCACCTTTAGAAAGGAAGATGAGCTGCCTCATAGCTTTTGTTAGCTTAAATTAATTTAAACAGTGTATCATTAAACAATAAATTGATATGGGTCACTTGCTAGGTCTGCAAACTAATTACAAATTATCAGTCATAGATAATCTACAAATAAAGGAACATATGCCCAGGTTTTCACACAAGGGAAAACATTTTACATCAATATTATCACCTAACACCATTTCAGAGTTATAACACTGTGCCATTTCCTACACACTGGTTGTATGCTGGTCCACAGTTAAGCAGACAGTTTGTCACGGGTGATGAGATACAAGTGATACAGAAACTTTATAAATATTGTCACCTACTGCAACTATTAGCCCAGCAATCAACTAAATATTCAAAGTTAGGCTGCTGGTCACCTAGAGGTGGTCCTTTGAGATAGGTGTGGATGCTTACAGCCAGACCTGAGCTTGACAAGGGCCAGCAGGACAGAGTCTGCAATGGACTCAATGGTTTTAAGAAATGAAACAGCAGCCAGGAGGGAAGAGAGCAGAATCCTGTCCTGCCAGAATCTCTTCTGTGGGTGAAGAATCCCTGTCCTGTAAATGACTCACTGGGTACATCTCAGCGATGCTCACTATGTTTAAAACTTAGTGGAAATAATTGTATGTGGCGAGTAGGGCATCAGAATGGAAAATACAGAGTAATAAACCACCTGAAAACCTCCAAACTGCTGGCATCATTCAGCAGTCTGCGCTACCCTGTGCTCTTTGTCACATGAAAAGAGTCTGGCAGGTGTCCAGCCACTCTATCCTTTCTATTCCCAAAAGGTCATTCTCACTAATGGCCATAAATGTAATACGAAGAAGACAAGCACAAGGGTGTGCAACGGATTAACTGAGTTGAGAAGCTAAAGAATTATCTTCATTGTTCAATGCACTTCTGCATCCCTTCCACTCTCAGGCTCCCACAACAGAGAAACAAGCCGTGCTTCAGTCTTGAACATACGGAAGTTCACTAGTCACTATGGAAAGATCTTTCAGTGGTTACTAACATAGCTGCACAAATGAAATAAATGAATTCCCAGTCATAATATTTACATTTCAATCAAAAGTACAGCAAATTTTAAGTAGGCAAATACAGTTGTTCATTTAACACTACATATGTAATAGAACATTGTTTTATATCATCATCATCCACTTCTAAGTCAACAGGCAGGACTGCAACATGAGATTTTTCAGGAATCCTACAGCAACACATACACACAAACACACACAAATCACATGTAAGAAGTAGCTTGCATGAGGTAAGTAAGGTTAATGGCAAAAGCTTTTTTTCTATGCGGAAGAAATTGAACATTAAAGCTGCAGCATTAGGAAAAAAAGTTTAAAAACAAGAAATGAAGTTGTACAACAGATGAGAACTTAACAAAATTGGTGAACTTTCCACACAGATGACGTCAGGTTAAAAAAACCAAACCAAACCAAAACCAAAGGGACCAAATGAGACCAAAAGAGAACCTCCCCCCCACACACATACAGACAAAAGTGAGAGCACAACAAAGGAAGTGGAAGAAAAGTGTTACCCATAAGTAGCCGCCGTTTCACCCGCTTGTCCACATCAGCTACTGACGTGGCATTGTACTCAGAACTCTCAATTGCAGCCTCATCCTTCTCTAAAACACAAGTAAGGGACAAACATGGAGCAGTTGGTTAATCACAAGCCCAATTTTCCACTGCCTAAGACAGTTTCTTGGCATGGCACAGCCAAAGCCAAGAAGCAAGGCATGAAAGCACTAAATCCCCGTTAGAGAGTTAATTTCCTTTGAGACCCCAGGAAAAAAATTAAAGGGTGTTCAGGGAAAGGAGGAAGAAAGAGGGGGAGGAGGAAGAATGATCAACTATGAAGTAATTAACCACATACAGGAAGCTGAATGCCTACTGGAGACCAAGACAGCTACTCTCATGAGTGCCCCAGAGAGGTGTTAATGATGAAAATTAAAATTCAGGGATGCTGGTTAAACGAACTACCAAAGACAAACTGTAAAGTGATTCAGGCTAATGGTGTCACCAAGATCTGAAGGTGGCAGGCAGAAGACTGAGACAGACAGAGTGATCTAGAAGAGTCCGGTGATGGATGGGCACGGATGCACCATAGTCTTGTACACATTGACACATCGTGAGGAGAATCCAAACAACAGCATGCAAATTAAACAAAAACAACAACAAAAATAAACAAACAACAAACCAAACAAACACAAAAAAAGATCAATTTGGGCAGTGCTGGTTGCCTGCTTGTCTATGAAACACTACTAGCTAAACATTCAATGCTAGGAAAGATGTTGCAAGAACAGGGTTTAGTAATTTTATAAGCATGCAGTAGGCAAGATGATGTCAGCAAAGGTCATTTTACAAGGTACTCTCTGATATCCTACATGTAAGAGTTTCATACAGAATAATGAGGCCTTCAGTTTGGTTATGCTTCATTAGAAATACACAGAAACAGTCACAAGTGTGGGAAGAAGTGATGAGTAAGCGAAATAAAAATAAGGATTTCTGATACAGGAGAGCAATGGAGAAGCAGCAGCTGGGTAAATAAAATGATTTATCCAGAGAGGGAAATGCTTATTAGGAAAACAAAAACTAAAATGCAAGAGGGGACTTTCACATGCAGCAAACATAAAAAAATAAAATAGAAGGATAAGTCAAGCAAACGAAGACAAAATATGTTAGACGAAGGGTCAACAAGTATTTATCTGGCATTGCAGAAGTTTGCATTCTTGCAGTGATGCCTGGAATATACACACCACTGAAGACAGCAAACACTGGAATCACTGAAGTGAGGAGGAGGAGGAGGCTGGCAGGTTTTGTTTGTGGCAACACTACATGGTTGAGTGCTAACAAGAAGTTGTTTTGCTTTGTTTTTAACAAGTTCTAGATGGGATCAGGCTGCAATAGAGGCTTTTGTTTGAGGTTTTTTTTTTTTATTTTGCTCTGTAAATAATTAATGAACGTCAGTTATCAGACAAGACAGGCAATCAGGAACCATCACCAGAAAGCAGGAATAAAAATGTAAAAAATAAATTAAAAAAATTAAAAGTATTCTAAGAGAAAGAACTACTTAGAAGGAAGAAAATCAGCATAGGCAGTAATATGTGACTTACATCAAAAGACCAAGGAATGTAACATGGAGTTGTATGTATTACATTACAAAAATGGGAAAAAAAAAGTAAAAAACAGGTGCAGTGTACACAGCTTTTAAAATCATTTTTACATGCTGGACAAAATAAAACATCAATCCAAGGATATTAGTGAATGCTAATAAATAGAAGATCAATTATCCATTCAACAAAACCTGCTCTCAAGGCCCTTGCTCTTGTAAATTCTCTGCATCTGGAACTGCCACAGCCTTCAGGGAGGGTTGTTTAAACAGAGGGACTGTACGACGGAGCCCTCTGTGTTAATCAAAAGTACTAGCTGAGAGATCCCGTAAGATGAGACATAGTTTGTGCACACAGTGAGGCAGAGTTCAGTGCTGAACCTTGTTCAGCTCTGCCTTTGCCAGCATCACCCTCACCCTACCACACAAGTTGTGCAGTCAAACCCATCGGAAGTGAGTGAGGCTCTGGGCAGCCACGGAGCTTTATGCCATGGATCTGACCAAGGGATCGTTAAAGGTAACTGACAGATTTCCATGGGTCTCAAATGCTCTGTCTTGCAGTATTGATAGAAGAGAGGAAAGATGATAAATACATGTAACCTCAGGTAATTACTAGGAATTTGTAAGAATTTGAAATTAAACAAACAAAAAAAGTCAACATGACCACAGTGCTAATGAAAACTATCAGGGATTTTAGGTTCTGATCTGTGAGTAAGAATTTCCAAATTTGAACTTACAGTATGCAAAACCATCCTTTTTTATTTAAAAGGAAAAAAAAAGCAGAGTGGAAAGAAATGGTGTTAAGCAAGTAACATATTTTATAATCATAAATGTTTGCACAGCATCTCCCAAGATGCTCCACCTCCTGAACAGCTTTTTGCTACTGATATTCTGAGTGAAAGCTTATTCACTACAAGTGCTGTAATTTTTAGAATCATAAAACATACAACAGGGAAGAAAGCACATCATGATGATTAATTTTCCCCGATAACAGCTTAGAAAAGAGGATCATTTTCCTCACCTTGCTTACGCAAGGAAGTCTTGACTTATGAAAGCGAACGGAAGAGCTGAACTTCCATTCATAATTATGAATGTTCCACACCTTTTTACTTCAAAAATTATTAGAGTTATGAAAAGAAATAAAAGTTACAAAGGAGTAACAAAGGGATACTTCATTAACAAATGTTTTGACAAAACACGCACAAATGCTTCTCTCTCTGTATAGCGCAACCTTAGCTACTACAGCCAGGAACTGCTGTTAGCCCCTTCTCTCAGCAACAGTGCTAAATGCCTGTGAGGTACAAACACACACGCGCGCACACACACACACATACATATGTGCACATAATATTCTATGAAGAATGCAAAATAAAATGTGCTGCAGAGAAGTACTTACCAATGCAGGTTCGGCCATCTGAGTGTAGGGCATACTTCTGATGACAACCACACACAGGACCAGTATCTGTGTCATCACAGGTGTGTTGGCAGCCTCCATTCCCATAGTTACAGGTTACTAGTTAAGCCCCAAATGTATGTGTATATATGTATATATAAATAAAATGACAATGAAACCAATTAGTCTTGAGGGCCTTTCAGAATACAGAAGAGCAGTAACAAACCAAGACATAAGGCAACATCACATTTGTATTTGCAGTTATTTGCATTTCTTATTCTTTCCGACCCCCCTTATCTTAGCCATGCTCCTGTCTCATGCCCTACTCTCAATCCATGCAGTGAAGAAAAAATAGGAAAAAAAAAAAAGCATGCTACTTTTTCCCCAGTCTATTTGTATTCATAATTTTAGTATGAGTGGTCAGCCAGTTCCACCTTCTCCTAAAAGCTACATGCTTCACATTCGTGGTGTATATGGCAAGAAGTGAGAAGTCTACTAATACAGACACATACTTTCAAGTCTACAGACAGCTCTTCTCTTTTCCTTCCCCTTAATTTTCTAAATGGAGGAAGCAGAGACCAAACAGCAAGAATGTAAGTCTTGAAATCTATTATTTCAAGTACTGGTCCTCCTAGAGAGAGGAATGTTTAAAAATAAAACAGGATTTTTTTTTTTCTTCTCTTCTCTGAAACAAAAAATACACAGTTGTTATGGCCCTGCATTGCACTGGCCTCAACTAAGAAGGAAACATTGTAGATGTCACTTTCACTTCCAAGCATACAGTACAAAATGGCTTTTAGCAATTAAAATGTCCTCTGGTGAAAAAATAGTAAACATACATTAAAGCAAACATTTTTTATGACAGGGAGAGTTTCGAAGTTTTGAGATCAGATTCAATCTCCTTCATCACATGATGGATTTAATTTCTGACTATTAAGACAAACCCGTTTTTAAATATTAAGCTGGTTATTGCCATTAACAATGCCCCTGATTTGTCCCCGTTCTGTTTAATCCTTTCCAGTTGCATAGCTTGGCGCTGAACAGCACAATCCTGATCTGACTAAATTCTGAATTCAATTTACTGTCTTTATATATAGGTAATTTGGATTAGGTTCCTTATTGGTATATACATTCTGGCACATACAGTGGAAATCCAATATACCATTATTCAGTTATATCACACTTATCATTTCAGAGGACTTCAATGTTTTGAAATCTTACAGGAATTTAAACACTGAGTACAGTAATTTAAATACTGAGTCCTCCTCATCAGAAGGAACTTCCTTACATTGTTCTTAGCAGAATTTTCCTTCTAGATAAGAGAGTTTATAACAGAGCCATGGTAGAAATTGCAATATACATAAAAAAGGAAGACAACTGTTAACAGGATTGTAAAATCAGGTATCTAAATCTAAACTGAGGTTCTATCTAATCCAATAGGGCTAAGCACATAATTTCCCACCGGCCTCAGTGACTCTGCTTTAGTGCTAGCTTCTTAAAATGGAGTAGACTGGAATTTTCAGTCACAGTAACTAGAACTGAAATATCCCACCTCTGGTGTGAGTGTCCCAGTTCTAAATAGTCATGTCAGTCTCAGTAATCACTCAAGTATTTCGCTTAAAATGGAACAATTCTAAGAAAAGCAACTGAGAGAGACCCACCACAGCATACCCAACAGAATTCCTGTTAAAACCTCCTGCCAGTGTGAGAACTGCAAGTTTACATCCATGGTCCCTGAAATCTGGCAAAGATTACAACAGGAATTGTCCATCTCCCAAGTGAGTACAGACCAGAGGCCACTATGGGTGCAACCATCCTTGGTCCTTCACATTGTACACTTTGAATAAAATCCCTGTGTTCTTCAGAGATAGCAAGAGAATAGACTCATGGCCTAGTGGTAAGAACAATCCCTGAGAAGAGGGCCTGCTTGGATTCCCACCTTTCCTCCCAGGAATATCGCCATTCTATCCAATTGGAAAGAATGTCAATAAGAAAGATGGAGAGCAGCCTGACCCACCTTCCCTTACTGCAGCTTCTCAGCTTGGTCACTGGGCTGGAAAATGGGAATTGTGGGTTTAGTCCCACCAGGCAGAGGAGGGAATTGAACTGACATACACCAAGTCATAATAATCCTAAACTTCCAAGGAATTACATTAAAAAAGCCCCCTAGCTACAACTACTCTGAGGCATTCTTTCTCCTTCTCCAGTTTTACAGCTTAGCTATCAATTTCTTTTTGGGAAAAATACATGAAGCAAACCCTCCTGCTTTTCATCAAATGGAAGAAACATTTCATTTCCTTCAATACAAAATAACATTTTAGCTTTTATTTTTGATGCAAAACAAATTAAATTTTTTTGTCAATTCTCCATTCTTACATCTCCCACCTTTTCGATGTAGTCATGCTGAAAAATAATGTCCTTGCTCAACATTATACCTGTCCTTATTCACCTCTCTTCGCCCACTCTTTGATTTGCAATTTTTGGGGTTAATCTTTTTCTTGTGGCTCTCTCTCTGCCACATTATGTGTGCAACAGTAACTTCTTGCTTAATCTGGAGGTAGGCAGAATACTGGTTTGTAGCTTAGTGAGAGCTAGAGGAACAGACAGAGGTTGTTTGAATTTGCTGTCTGCAGCCTGGCTGCAAACATGAGCTCTGTTCTGGCCAGCTGCATCTGGGATGTGATCAAGCAGGGGCAGTAACTGGCATAGAAAGCAGCTGTCTGCAATATCCACAGTATTGGGCACACACTGGCAGAGCTAATCCAGGACAAGGTAATTTCCATCTATTTATCCTCCCCTCCTTCTTGACCCTGTATGTCTCTTGGACTATGTGGAAATTCATTCAATGTTTCTATCCCTGTCGGACTGCCGTGCCATCACAAATTAACTTAAAGGTGTTGTTTATGCCAGATGTTTAAATACATTCCTAGCCAACAGTATTTTTATTGAAGATTTTAAAGTGCAATCAGCAACAAAGTGTATATTTTAAACAACTTGACTGCAGTGGCTATTTTAGGCATTCCTTGCTGAAAGCCTCTGCTGGCAGAGATGAAAATATCTTGACATGGTTTCTTTGATTCACGTAATACGAGGGGCTTTTCCTTACTATGCTTGTCTATGAAAAATTGCACTGGACTGATGGGGTTTATAGTAAATCCTGTAGAATCACACACTTCTTTTATAGTTTCCCTGTATACTAAAGTTACTGGTTCTTGTTCTACCCAGTCAATGGACATAGATGTAGGCCAATTCCTTCTCCCATCTCTTACAAATATTAGTAAATCCTGTTTTTGAAGGATTTGAATTTCTGGCTAGACTACTGTTTATTTATTTATTTATTTATTTAAAGCAACTTGAGCCAAAATTCTGGAGCTTGACAGCTCTGAGAGTGAAATTGGTACAAAATCCAGTTGTAAAATACGTCATTTCAATTTCTTTCCAGCCTTAATTCTGTGGCAGTTACACACTAAAAAGTCTCTCTTGCTTAGAGGAAGAAGAACAAAATTATTTAAAAGCAAAGGGACATCCAGATCTACTCCATTTTTGTCAGAAAGCATTAAAGCAAAATTAATGGGAAAACTCAAAGTGTTCTTCTAAAAATTATTTCCAATAAATTTGGACTCTACAGCTATATAAAAGACAGTGTGCTTATTCAGTCTGTGGCATTACAAAAGCAAACAAAAAGAGGCAAAACGCTAACTTCTGATAGACACAGATCACCTTCAAATATTATAAAACATGTTATTATAAAAGGGATGTAAAATAGTAAGTAATTTTTTTTGTTGTTGTTTTTTTAGCCAAAGGAGAATATACACATATCTGTTAGAACTCAGACATACTTATCCCCACACAGCAGATTTAAAACCAGAGTAACACCATTGCTTTTGACACTGCTTCAGCATTCATGTATGTCTTAAGTGCAATCAAAATGCTGGGCGCTTTCCCTTGGTGGGAGAAATACCCTGTACAACTGGCTAAAACCAGTATCTCACAGAGAAGCCTTTCCTGATGTTGGCTACAAACGTGAGTAGAAACAGCACACAAGCCCTGTAAAGATGCACACCATCTATGTGAGGTGTCTAATACTGGTGGCCAAGTCACAAGTCTCTTCTCCCAACACTGTTTCTACTGTGAATGAAGAGCTATGGGGCACCCTGAGCCAAAGCCCTGACACTGGTGCTTCAAATAGCCTTCAAACAAGAGTAATTCTTTTTGATGACTATAATGCTCAGGCTCTTGAACTAGCCAGACACCTTTCAGGGCCTGCAGGCTGGCAGTGCGGCATTATCACCCTAACTGTCCACCTAGTCTTGAAATGACATTTTGATGTTGAAAGAAAAGAAATGACTGTCTGGAAAAGGAATGACATCTTAAAAGAACAAAGGGGATTTTAATGTACTTATTCCACTAAATAATGATATTGATGTTCCATGCTAAACCCCCCAGAAGACAGAAAATACAAGAATTCAGCCTCACTCTACAGCCTAAATCCTGCTTTGAGTGCTTCTCTGAACTTCTATATAATCCTTTTTTTGGTCTCTTCCATCTGACTTGCCCATGACAAAGAGTATTCGAGAACATATGGCCAAATATTAAATCTAGCATTTAGTACCCACTAACTGAAAAAATCCTCTAGACAACAATGTCCTGATCTTGTCCACACATGGACTGAAATATATACTACAGCACAGATACCACAGAATTTGCAGCAAGCCAGATCTTTTGTTTTTGTAGCATGGCTTCCTACAACAGTTCAAACCAGTACATTGTAATTTCAGATAAATGAAAAATGGCACTGTTTTTAAACAAAATTTGCCATTAAATATATAATTTATATAACTATATGTGCATCTCTTTCTATGTGATAAAGCTGTGCATGCAACATTGCTTGCATTATTTATTCTAGTATGGCCTTACATTTTTAACATCCTGGACATCTTTGTACTGACAGCAAATAGCTGCATGAGAACATTGTCATCAAGGAGTCCAAAACGTTGCCACTTGGCATAGGTGGGACAGCATTTTATTGTAAACATACTAGACTGGATTTTTAGAATTACTTAGCACTAGTCCCCTTGCTCACTTCAATCATTATTATTGGAGACAGCAGATAGAAATAGCTGTAGTTAAGGTTATCCAGCATTTTTCATTAAGAGATTCAGCTTTCATTTGTTTATGACTCTGCCAGAATTATTTCTTTTAGTTTGCAATTTGCAGGTATGCATATCTGCTTTAGTTTTCCTCTTACTTTTTCAAGTTACAGCTAAACTGATCCAGATAATAGATGAACAAAAATATCTTGGTTTGTTCATGTTTGGGGAAAAAAACCTTCAGTTTATCAAAAATTTCTAATGCAAACATGCTCAGGAGCAGGATCTTAAAATCCATCTGTCTCTATGGATACAGATCCAGAAAGAAGAGGCCATTTCCCATGTTTTTCCACTGTAGTCTGGAACTGAATTCACTAGTCCTAAGTCTCTTCTTTCTGCTGCCAGCAAGTATCTATGAATATCACTGACAAAGCATATTCTTCTAATGGCTTGTGTACATAGAAGACGGTAGTTTATTGCTGCTTTGGATCTAAAGGATGCAGCTCTTCTGAGGAATTATATATGGATCTGTATGATTCTGCTTAGCGTATTTCTAGATGACCTCTTGAGGTCCCTTCCAGCCTCAATGCTTCTTTGTTCTCCTAGCATGGTGGGCAAGTTATTTTTTTGGTAACTGAGAAATTGTATGTTTAAAATTTACACCAAGAAACCATTAAGGTTGCAATATTAAGCACTCAAAAACTACAAAATACCAGACTTCTGTTACAAAGTACCAGACTTCTGGTACATAGACTTATTGTATCATGACAACCACCCTTAACGACAAATGCAGTAACAATCCTGTCTTATTCAGTGCACACTGGAGCTGGGGATAGTCAGGTCTGTGGAAGAAGTTGCAGATTCTTGTCTCATTTGCTGCAGAATGAGTAGTAAATCAGAAGGAGACTTTCAAGAAAGGATGGTCTTGTTCAGAGAGCGTATAGAGCCCTAAAAATCTCTAATCTGCCCTTGCCATGGAATTCCTACTTAGGGTTTGGCAAGCCACTTGAATCACATCTACTACAAGTTACTAATATTATATTCCTTTCTCCACGGCATCTGCAAGTACAGCTGGAGCCATTGGGAGATTGGCTTTGATCATACTGAAGTGCTATATATGCTGAGCTGGGTTCTGGGTGTTTCTTGTTAATCACCTATCACTACTAAATGACTTTGACATTAACATCTTTATATTCATTTCCCATTTGTAAGATAGGCAAAGCAGTACTTTTTAACTTGACAAGAATGTTCCGAAAATACATTACCAATGCCTACAAAGCACTTCGATGTTACAGTAATGAGTATCATGGGAAAATCCATGAGGAAATTAAAAATTTTATGCTCACAATAGGGGTTAAATACTGTGCAGCAGGAAAGTCATGACACCGAGCTATGAAGAGGAAGCTATTGAACAAAAGCCTGTTTAATGAGCGCTGACCATCACGCACACTGAATGAAGCAAGACACCAACAGTGACTGCCTTATTAGCATGCAATGATATGATCAAGTGACATGTAATCACGTAATTAGGATTTAATGACAATCTTGTAATGCATGCATAAAAAGCAGGGAGCCTCCCTCCAATTTTTTATGCTTTATAACTTATTTCAACATCTTTTTTTCCTTTGAGGAACACATATCTCATTACTAGTGGACCCGGGCCAATAAATCTGAAAACTTCTCCCAGTATTCTGATTCAATTGCAAACTAGCTGATAAAAATTCACTTAATGAGGTACTGGTTCTCTGCCACTTGTTCATGTAAAAAAAACAGAGAAGCAACCTCTGACAAATCCTGAAAGGCACAGTCTTCTGGAGGGACCATGATAAATCAGAATAATTGAGAGGGATACAGGGATACACTAGGGGTATATCAGACCATACCAGCCCTGGGATACAGGACTAAAGACCCAGTCCAGGCTGACAAGGGGCAAGTGTCTCTTTTTCAGCATTTCAACACAGCTGTACTCAGTACTTGCAAAGCTGCAGCTCAAGATTTAAGCCGATTCCACTGAAACAGTTAGCTGTGAAAAAGTTTTTTTAAAAGTCAGGGTTTGGTTTCAGAACTAGACCTTTGTAAATAGCCTGGAATCTCATAGTTATTGTCCCAGGCTATCTGGCTACAGTTTTACACTTCGTGTTTGGAAGGGCTAGAAGTACAGTTATTTCAAATAAGACTCTGGAACATATTTGCAGAATGTACTGAGGGTTGATGTACTCAGCAGCAAGTTCTGTAGCCTTGAAAAACTCAGTGCCCCTACTTTAGAGGTCTGTCAGCAAAAGTTCATTATACTTCCAACTAAAATTTGAACACCACAGGGCATAGAATAAATTCAAGTTTTCCATGCTATTAAACCTTGAGGCATTTAGAAATATCCTTCTAGAAAAGTATTTAATCCTTCTATCACCATCTCACTATGAAAAAGGATAATGTAATTCCCAAGGAATGTACAAATTTGTGGAAACAAATAATAAACAACATAAATAAACATCCTCTCCTACTTTACCAATGTAGCTGATGTTGCACTATAACTAACGGCATGCAATGTTCACTTCTAATAAACATTGAGAATGAAAATTACTATAAAGGCCATTTTTCTCAGTGCTTTTGCCTTTGGACATGTGTAGCCTCTTAACACTGAGGAGCAATCAGGCTGTACAATATCCTGTGGCATTTCTGGATGATATTCAAAGGTGATTCTTTTGACTTTGTACTTGGAAACTAATATAGTCTAAGCATGTTTACACAGTGGAGATCTCAGGAAGAATAATGTTGAAGTGGAAGAAAGGCTATCACAAAAATACTGGCCCTATGTAAAGCACCAAACATGTTTCATGTCATTTTATTGCACTTTTTTTTAAAAAAATCTCTCCCAGAGCTACCAAGTACGTGAGCAAGCTATTGGAGTCAGATCTAATGATCACTGAAGCCATCAGAAAGACCTCCATGCAATTCAGAAGCTTTCATATGATGGTGCTGAGTTATAGAGGGTCAATAATTTTAACCTGTACAGAACAATTTCCAATTTTGTGGGATAATGACTATCTATATCTTCAGCATCCCAGCTTCGAGAATACATCACTCAGGGGTTTTTTCCTTTGAAGAACAGTATATATGATACAGCTGTATGTTTTCCAAGTAATAACAAGAAAAGTAGACTGTGTGCAGTGGATGCATGACTAGACCAAACACTTCTATCCTTTAAAAAAGAGGAATTAACACTCTTAATTTGATAGCTCTAGCAGGTTTATCATTAAATGCATTAGTAGATTTATCAATGCATCTATCATTGTGGATCTTCAAAATATTGCAACCCAGAATCCTCTATGCTATATTTGTTTTGCTTTACAAGGAAAGCCTGGATTAAACTGACCCCTCACTTCTCTGCCTTCATAGGAAAAGTAGAAAAGTTGTTACCATTTTGCAACCAGAGTCACTGCCAAAATTCTGTTATCTCCTACCCATCCCCAAGCACACCTCCTACAGCAAAAACCACATTACTAAAATTACAGATCACCTTTGGCCAAAACAATGTTGATTTCTTGGCTTCTGGAAAATAACAACAATGAAGAAAAATAAGACATTTTTGGGCATTTGAAATTAGATCTTCATCTACCTACATTTGCAGTCCTTCTGGTTTTTGGCAAGTTCAAAGCCAGGCCTACATTCACAGGCAACCCCACCTTTGGGCGTCTCCCGGCAGATATGTGCACACCCATGATCTTTGTTCATACAGTTCATACCCTCTGTAAAAAAAAGAAAAATGGAAAATATTAACATTGAAATAAAATTACAAAATAATTACACACATCCAGTCCTCCAGTAATTTTAAGTGAAATTTTTATTTTGCATCTGGACTGTGTTCCACAAGGCAAAGGAATGCAGCTGAAAAGAGGTACACAATCCACAAAACAGTGTAATAAAGGACAAACCTCCTCTGTGGCAAATACAAGTACTACTTTGGACTATAGGGTGTCTCTGCTGCATGTAGAAATCCAGGACTTGCGTGATTTCCTTATTCTATACCCATATTCTCACTTTTCATGAAAATATCATGGATTTAAAGGATACTCCAGGAAGTTGTCTGTCCCACAGGTGATTATCAGAGTTGAATAACTGAGCTCACTGTTATTTTTTCCTTGTATAAATTTCATGGTTGTTACTGTCTGATGCATTTTTATTTGCCTGTTAATGTGCTTTATATTTTCTATCACAAGAAATCTACCAAAGATTATATCTGAGCTTTTTGCTTGGATCTGCTTCTTTGCTATTTGATACACATCTCAGTTATCTGTGTCATCCACCATAAGTGCATCCCGCCTCCAACAAACCACTTTTCTCTTTGACTATATTAAACAAAACATACCAGCTGTTCAACAAACATCCAAGTGCCATGGGTGGATTCCTGTTAATGTTTATGCCAAGGAGCAGTACCAACCAGCTTTGTCTTAATCATAGGGCCAATTTTAGCTTTCTAAACTACGTAAGTGATTTAGATACTGAATGTGCCTTATGCTCTTAGAAGCTTTCACTACCGAGTTAATTCAAATCCCACATATTCACAGAAATCGTGAACTCAGTCCTCATGGGTCACCATCTAGCATTCCTTGTGTGAACGACGGCTAGCTAGATTTGCATTACAAAGCCTTCCCAGACTTCCCCTTGGATAGCTGACCTGGAAAGGAGAGACAAATTCTCTCAAGAGTAGACTGACAGAGAATCCACAGTGTAACTCAGTTTACTACCGTGAAAACAGCATGTATTCCCCAAAACACTGGTGCATGCAATATCAGTGTGGACTCAGCAGCTCATTTGTCACTTTATAACATGGCTACTTCCCACCTATTCTAGGCTAATTTCTCGAAACAACTCCAGTGTAAAATGTTCAACTTAAACCTACAGTGACAACGTACTGCAAACAAATGTTTTTTCAGGGCTGTTGCAAAGTTTTTGCTTCCAAAGGTGAAAATAATCACTGCCCTCCCTTTTTGTTCTTACGGAAACTACATGAACATACCTGCCACCTCTGGCATCTACGCACACTGCCTTTAGGCGGAGGCTGGTCTCACACTATCGAATAATTGAAATCAAGTGTCAAAGATTTATGATGAATTTGAGCAGAAGTTTCTCTGCATACAAAACAGTTTTTAGCTGAACACAAATTAGCGTATAAGACAGCTACTAAGAAACTTTGTGTACAAAATTCTGAGGAAGCAATGCTACAGAAAGCCAGTCAGGGATTCCTTCACATTGACAGAAGCTAACAGCTTCAGAAGTTATTTACACTGCTCGACTTTACTTCAGAAAGGTTTATATTAGCAGAGCAGTGAAAAACACACATCACTAATCCAAGTGGGTATTTTTGTTCTTCTCTCCTACAAAAAAAACATCAGGATCTTAAATCTCACCACCTATGAAAACCAACATTAGAGATAACAGATATGTTTCTCTCTTATCAATTCCCCTTTGTGTTGGCCTTGATGAGTCTAAAAACTTGCCAAAGCACAAAATAAGTTACTCTGTAAACTGCAGCCTGGACAACAGATGTTATTGGAAGATATAATACATACTACATACTACGCACTACACTATACCATCCTACACATCGAAGTGAGGTATGAATGTTTTGTTTGGCTGAACAGATATAAGAAACCCGGGAACAGTCTTATTGAAGGTTTTGAGGCATTTTATAATCTCTTTCTCTCCACTTCTCCCAACAAAGGATTTCAGACACAATGTGTTTGACAAAAAAACATTCCTGCACACTACGCTATGTTCAGAAAGGGATCTGGGAAAGATAACGCATGCCTGATTGAGTCACACTGCTGAGGCAATGAGAAGAGAGGAATTAGATAGATGAAAGAAGATATTTAATGGCCCAGAAGTGTAATGAAGCAAGCGATTTTCAGTGTTTACTTACAGATACTGAGTATCTGCCATCATTAAAATCACTTGGGAAGACAGAAAATGTGCTCTGCTAAAAATATCAGGAGAAATTGAAGATCAGAATGATTACATTTTGAAAGAAAAAGCAGAATTTTATGCTGGTATTTGTGTGTCAGACCAAAATATTTCAATTACTGTATTAATCATTTTAGTTATTATATTCATCAGGTAGTTGAAGCTGTAGAAAAACTATTTCAGTTTCATGTTTAGCTGGAGAAGAACACCATAGAAATCTCCTAAGCCTGAAACCCATTATTTCAGAAAATATGGTGAAATGAAAGGCCATTTTTTTCAGTCAAGAACAGCAATTAATCCACAACTTCTCATTCATATTTTAATATCTTTCAAAATCCCTAAGAATTAAATTACAAAAAAAATCCTAAACAAAATTTTGATTAGTCCTGAAAAAAATATTTCAATACAAATGCAGCAAATTTGGCTTGCTTAAAAATGTAATCCAAACTATATTTGTGTTAATTTTCAAATATTTTAAATCATTCCAAATTTTAATTTTTCAGCAAATGCAGTATTGAGCCAGATGTCTTCTGTATCAATCTAAATACACAAATGATTTCTGAATCATTGTTGATACATAAGATTTACTTTTTTTGCAAGCTGATTCTTCGGACAATACTGAACCTTTTATGATACAACATATAAATCACACTAAAAAATAAAAAAAATATGCTAAGTACCTTTCCAATACTAGTTTAGTTGCTATGCAAATGCATATAGATGAGACAGAAAAGTACTCCTAAAATTACTTTGTTCAGTATTCTCTTTAGCAGGATGTGGTCCAAATTCTAAAATGAAATACATAAACCACCTCACACATATTTTCCTACACTGGAACTGGATGGAGTGCACTGCTGGTAGTAAAATAACTGGTGTGCAGACTGCACACCACTTTGCTATCATCTCCCCTCACTATCACCTCCTAAGAAATAAAGTTTGCCTTATTTTAGTTAATGTTTAGCAGCCACCTAACGTGCACATGCTTTTTACATAAGGAGTCAAGAGTGTGAATAACATCATGGGAAAAATTCCTCTGATGTTAAAGGGGGACATTTCTTAAGCATCTCAGTGCCTGCCTTGGTGTTCAGCCTCCCTCGGCCCCAGGACAAAGGGCAACCAAAGGGGAGGAGGGCAGCATGTTTCCAGACCCACTGGCACTGCCATGTGCAGGCAGCCAGGAGGGTCCTCTCCCCAGTGATGGGCAGTACACACCTCCAGCAAAAACGCTGTGTTCCCTCTGGGGGTGACTGGCACAATGAAGGCCAAACAGCTTGATTTGTGGAAACAGGTGGAAAACTAGTCACGATCATGGAAAAATTGGGTGGGATTCTCCTGCTCATTTAAATGTGTTTGAAGTATTTCCTCTTAATCACTGTAAGCCCCAACTCAGCAGAGGGGCCCCAGCACCAAGAGGAGTGCCCTGTGCTTCACTGTTGCTCCTTCCTAGAGCTGACCAATGCAACGCAGAACCAGGAAAGAGAGAGGAAACACCTATGGAATTATTCTAGGGCTTTCCCAAGATAGTATAGAATTATGCCCAGAGCAGTTTTACCTCAGTATGTTGCATGGCCTGGGCAAAATATCAGGCAATGGAAACAGGAGAGTATTTGCAGAACTACACCTTTTACTACACAACCTTGTGCCCCCATCATGTGCTCAACTGCATCACTCTGGTTTTGAACACAAGGAGTTGTTCCTAGCTGCTTCTCTTGATTTTTGCAGAGATCTGTGTGTCCCAGATTCTAGAACCGATGTGACTATGGGTCAAGTGAAAAACCATAGCTCCCAAATCAAGGGCAAGACTAAATGCTGATAAAAGAGAAGTATGTACACCAAAAAAATCCTTACTTTATCGTTGTGACACTAAAATGTCCAACATTGAAAGGTTCTAAGTTAACCGTTAATAAAAGTAGTATCTTAATTCCTTATGCCACTACACAAGGTAGTCTCCAAAGCCTAGCACAAAAATGGGTGCACGTTCTCTTTGGCAGTGCTGGCAGACAGTAAAATAAACTTTTGAAACACAGACACATTCTCAGCGAATTCACCTTACAAAAAGAGAGCAAACCAGAATCCAATGGAAAATATATTATAAACAGGAAGAGAACTGCCACTTAAGAAAGGAAAACACTGATCTAATTAAACTAAACCCTCTCTCAGCATTTTAGACAGGACTTGAGAAACTCTCTCCTGTCGCATTCCTGGATTTTTTCTGACTTTCAGCAACAAAAGATTGTTCACGGGAGAGTGGCAGACATTGTTATATGACCCACGATCCACATTCATTTTTGTTTCTGGCCTAGGAGAGATTTGGGTCCGAGTCTACTACATTAATCCAGTCTGCCATCTAGTTATCACAAATCTCTTAATAGTGCTGTTCTGCAAAATGTTCAGTCTGATACAACGATCTCTCCATTGTATTATGCTCTAAAAATGTTTTCAGCTCAATGGCTCTGAAAGTGCTTAAATCAGGCTGACTGTGACAACTAATATACTGATCAGCCTTTATTTTTCGTTAACACTGCCTGTTCTCATCTTAATTAAGACTTCTAGCAATTATTTCACTCTGTGGTTCATCATATATGCTTGCATTACCCTCTCTGTTATCAGTTTCACTTGCTCTGTATTTATATTGCTGCTATTTTTTACAACTTCCAAATAAACATGCTGATTCCAAACACAATCTGAAAAAGTCTACTTTAAATTGCACCAAAGATATAATACAGTAATAAATTTTAGAATATTCTCAGAGTATATGTGGTTGAATGTGGTAAGACAATACAAGAAAACTTGAACTGAACATATACGTACACACTGACACGCACAGTAGCATATGCATCACATACTCAATCCTCAAAACTACGTAGTTGGATTCTATTTTTTGTTGATAAATTAATTTTAGCACCAGGTACACAGTGAAATCTCTTATTACAGTTGCACCCTTATTTAACAAAAAAGTGCATCTTACAAAAAATAATTTAAAAAGTTGTAGACATGCTTTCTGAAATTCATACATCACACATAATTTGTATGATTCTGTTCCAGTAACTTCCAGAAGAGTTAAAATACATTAAATGTAAGTTATATGCAAGGCATTGAATTGCTGGACTCAGATAAGCCACAGTGTTTAATTATTTATGAACTGTTTTACACACTTTTATGAACACACCTGACAACTGCTAATTTAAGGAATGGCAGAGTTCAACTGTATCAGGATCAGTTGATAGAGTTCAACTGTACCAGTATTATATTTCAGAGCAAAATACAATAATACCAAATATATTGTAATTATAATAACTATAAAGTAAGAAACAGAATGTAACATGACATATTATGTCTCTAGATCACCTGATTGTCACTTACGGTCATTCTCTCAATGCCTGGTGCTAGGAAGAGTGGAATATATCTTCAGTGGCAGAGAGGGGAAAGAATGTAAGAGGAAACAAGCATTCTCATTTTAGTTATTCACTAAATTATTAAACAGCGGGACTTCTTGTTTGTTTGTTTTCTTTTTAAAAATTCGTGTAAGAAATTACACTGCTACAATAAAACACACTGATCAATGACCAAGCAATTTAGAAGACTGACAGAGACAACTCCTCTCCCAGATTTTTTGTTTTACTGTGTTAAGAATGGAAGCCAAACAAAACACACTAAGTTTCTGATGGAGACAGGAACATGATGTTAGTGAAAGTGCAAGATGGCTGTTTCAAGCCAAATGTTACATTATGCATGTAAATTTTGGACATATAATGCAGTTAGATGGTTGACTGTCCAAAAAAAGCATACTGTTAACTTTTTGGCTGGCTTGTGGAAACCAGCTCTGGGTCTACACCTGTGAGTGTCCTGCTTTGGCTTTCTAACTCCAGCATCTTGTGCGCTTCACAAGAGCGATAAATATCAACATTTGGCTAAACAACCCAATCACAACGAGTACATATGGTCGGATCTTAGCTCCATTGAAGCCAAAAGATTGTTTTCCAACAGCCTGGATCTGACCTTTATGCTGCACAGTTGCATCAGATCTTCTGGACATTTCTGGCTCACTAATAAGTGCCTGATTCTGGGATGT